CAAATTTTTGAGTTAATTTTACACAAGATGAATATGTTAGAGGTAATACAAATATTAAGTAAGAGAATAAATACAAAGGAAGATAACATCGATCTAGTTTGTAAACATATCATGGGAACATTTTTTTTTCAGAAAATTAATATTTATGATATGTTAAATTAACACATATTTCATCCATTTGTCTTAGAATTTATGTTTTAAACACATTATTTTTATGTTACTTGTTCATTTACTCGTAAATTGTGCCATTTTGACACTAAGAAACATTGAATATCAATTTCACAAAAAATCTTTAAATAACATAATCATATTATATTAAATTAACACTCGAATACGTTAAAAAATTCAATACAAACTGTTAACACAAACGTGAATGGACCGTTTCCAACACAAATATACAAATTTTTTTACTGTGTAATTACAAAGAAAGAAAATAAACGAGCAGGTAATTATTACTGTTGGAAATGGCAATATTGTGTATAAAGAATAAGATCGGAATAATGAGAGCATAATAATTGTGCCACAATTTTTATAATAAAAAAATCTTAATAAAAATTTTATTAATTCTCTTATACGTCGTACGGTAAATAAAGGTTCTGCCCGAATGATTTTATTATAAATAGCACAAATATACGGTTCGATGCAGTGAAGTGGAAGAAAGGAAGAAAAGGAGGCTTCGTGGAACCAGTACGATGCAAGGTGCAACACGTGCTGCCCGACAGCTGTTTTCCGGTTTAAATTTGGACGTTAAGTCCATTTTTAATTTCGCGCCCGGACGAACTTTCAAATAATAATAATTACAATGTGACACGAGGTGAATCCTCCTTGTCTGCTCTAAATTCGCGAGCTATTCATCGAAATGCGCGGTTTATTCGTACACGAAAGTCACATTTCAGAGAATGCGACCCGGTGAAAGTATTATAAATCATCGCAAGAATTGTAGACATCTTCTGTATTCCATTGTATAAAAATGATAAGAGCTTTAACAATACGAGAGAGAATAATGCATCTTGATTGGCAAATTATTTGCAGATAGCCTGTTATTTCTACTCGTTGTAAGAAACGAGAGAAAAAGGCAAGAGGAAATCAAGAAAGAGTGACAAATTTTGTGTTCACCGTCTAGCTATGGAGGACGAGGACTTTGGTTTTGCGAAGAGGACGGACAATGTTTTAAAGAAAGTTTTCACTGTTAATAATGAACAAACACATAAGAATACAGTTCATAACGTTGGACATCTAATCTGTTCTCCACCTAAGGTTGGTTCCTTATTGGTGTAGGATAGAAAGAATTTTTGTTGTATCCCATTACAAACAATAATAATGTTTAACATAAATAACTACAGGAAACCTCAAAGAGATGTACTTCCATATTTCACATGATCTGCTTAGAACTACAAATTTTTCAACGTACATAATAATTTTTTATATACTTCTAACACAAGAAATAAATATAGATTTTTATTAATTGTGTTATTTAAGTATTAAAAAATCAATAAAATAAATGTATGAATAGTAACAAACAAAGGTTTCGGACAGATATCGTTTACGTTAAAATATTAACATAAAGCGTCTAAAATTCAGACTTTAAGGAGCGTATTGTAGAAATATGAAAGTAGACTGATGTTTACAACTTGATAAAATGTAATTAGACATCGGAAGTCGTTGGTGGAGGTGGATCAACGACACCAGCGCCTCTGATTGGGGCCGGAAGCGAGGTCCCTCAACGCGCGTCAACCGCCGCTGGCTCAGTCGTGCCCAACACTCCGAACATACCGAACGTGGTGGAGTACCATCTTAAAGTCAAGCCTAGGTCAACGACAAGGCACTGCCGGCTCGATAACGTTCCCGTGAGTAGCGTTTTAAGACTCTCTCGTGGAGAACGCAGGTAGAAACTTAGAAAGACGCGCTCAGGATTGTTTGTTACGATAGGATTGATTTGCCGTTTCCATTAGCATTTATCATAAAATATTTGCAGAGTACGAAGCATTGTAACTTATCCCGTTATTCTACTTTTCCTTCATTTAAATTCATGATGCATTCGCATTCTTTTCCTATTCGTTAGACATTTTGAATCATTAGTTGATTAGATTAGTTGATCAAACGATCACTCCTGGATTTTTTTAAATTGTGGTCCTAAAATAATTACATTAGTACTAGACTCGCGCGTTAAAAAAATGTGAATTTGCAACAGAGGGACCAGCCTGTAAAAGAGATGAAGAAGGAGAAGGTGTCTTCTGACGATAAGAAGAAAGATCTCGTGTCGAAGTTGTCACGATTGTCCATTGATAATAATGTTTTTGAGGGTTCTACAGATTTGCCGCAAGTATTTCAGGTACAATTTTCATTTTTTAATAGAGATAAGAAAGTTTGAATTTTTCTTAATATTCACACTTTATTTGTTCCAATTAAATATGAATCATCGGAATATACACACTGCAATAACAATTATGAACACTCGTATAATTTATATATATATTTTTTCTATTTTACGTAATATGAAAATAATATGTAGAAAAGAAGAAAAAGATTTTATATAAGAATTTTGAATTTTAAATTAAAAAATTAATTAATGTTTTTAATATTTAAAATAAAATAAAATAATCATAATTTTTTATTAAAAATGAAAAATCTATTTGTCATAATTTTTTCACGATTGATATTGTAATTTAAAAAAAAATAGTCTTAAAGAAGTTAAAAGGAGATCGCGTAAAATTTCAAAGCTTTGTTCCACGAATTTTATCCTTAAGAAGTTCGTTGCGTATTTGAATCTTTTAGATTGACCCTTTTCAGGTGAAATATTTGGGGTCTCATGATGCAAGAGGCCTCTGGGGCATCAAACACACAAGAAGGCCCGTCGATAATATGGTTTCTGCTGCGAAGGCTTTGCCGACTAACACAATGCTGCCTCTTATCAAGCTAGTAGTTTCTCAGGAGGGAGTTGCCTTGCTGTCACTAGACAAAAGGAAGCAGGATACCAATTTATCCAGAATGTATCCTATTGAGACGATCTCCTACGGAGTGCAGGATCTAGTTTACACTAGAGTCTTTTCCATGATCGTGGTTCGCGAGACGGAGAACTTCAGGAGAATCTCGCCATTTGAATGTCATGGTTTTGTCTGCGAGTCGAAATACTATGCGAGGCAATTGACATACGCTCTCGCTGCAGCCTTCGATGTTTACTCCAAGACCGTAAAGGCTCAGGAAAAGCTGACCGGAGTCAGCGTAAACACCGCCAGGAAGAGATTTGCGATCGACCTGAGGAGCCCTGAGGAAATTGAAGCGGATCTTACGATGGATTCTGAAGCGTAACTTTCGAAATAATATTATTTATTAGATTATTAGATATAAGATACAAATATACATAATAGATATATAAATTTTTAATTAGAAGAGTTTAAAAAACGGGCATCTTTAAAAAGGATCTACACGAAAAATATAAAAAAGAGTTTAAAAGCAATGAGTTTATACAGTATATTTCGAAAACTATTTAGAAATATATGATTTTGTATCCTATATACGCGATGTAAAATAGATTTTTTTATTGTATACCTCAAATAATGTTTTTTTGAAAAGGACAATGCAGGGTAGAATGTAGTTTTAGATTTTCAAAAAGGTATCATCGTATTTTTGTCACTTCTCGCAAAGTCATTTACATTATACTTTTTATTTTCCAGATATTTTGTAGTTTTCATACACAGTGTGTTGTTTAAAATCGAGAAATTAGAGAAATACATTACTTTTTACAATGGAACAATTAATCCAGCATAGAAAAAAGAAAATTTAATGTATCTCGTTTGTATAAAAATAAATTGAGATGCATTTAATAAATATATATACATATACTATAAATAAAAAAATTGACAGATAAGTTTATGTAAATAGTTATAGGTACAATCATAATCATTATATCAAGTAAATAATTATTTTTTATTAATATCGTGGATGCAGCACGTTCTGTATCATATTTCCGAAAGGAGATTTTTCATATCAGAAGAAATATATTTTAGTACACAGTTTTTTTTTAAAACTATGTACTAAATCTATATATCTGTTACGAATTGGTGCGCCAATTCGAAGATGAAAGAAATATTTATCATCAGAACGTTGTTATATGAATATGTGTGTTTGTATAATTGTTGTTTGTTTTATTATTTTATCGGCATTGCGAAAAGTTAAATAGGTCTCGGTTATTCGAGGCATGATAGCTAGCTATCCAAAGATATCAAATAGAAAACGATGGAACGCGAGAGATGTGGATGATATTTCCAGCGTCGCGACTTGTACGATTTCATGAAAATTTTACGATGATTAACGAATCAGACGATTGTTTTGGATCTATTTCTAGCTGTCTTACGTGTGCATGTGTGTCTCTAGTTTAAGTTTCATTACACTAAAGCTACGTAATATTATAACATTAACGGAATCTATAATAGCAACAGAGAATATATGTATTGCATTTAATGTACTTTTTATATTTTTTTAGTCGTATTGAATTAAGTTTACAAAGGACCAATATCGATACATATCAATTACTGTAAATAGATAGTGTTGCCACACTTTTTCTTGTTTTGTACATATTGCTTATTTAAGCTAAGTTCTTTCTTTGATTTATTTTTAATATGTTTGCGAGTTATAGCGTCACGATTTTTACGTATTTTAGGCTTGGGACAATCGTGTAACGTTTTTCCTTTTCATAATCGTGGCCCTTTTTGCGCTTTATCTATCAGTATTAGATATATATTTCGCCTGTACTTATATTATTAGTCATAAAAAATGATTTACATGATTTTTACCTCAATGTTTAAGATTTTTCTTTAATAATAACGTTTACATCATCTTTCTCTTGGAATATGTGTATAAATACAACAAGTTAAATGAAATTGTCAACTTCCTTCTAGCGTTTTTTATTTTACTCGATAAATAATTACATATGCGAACGTTTAATATATTTTTACATAATTACAACTTATGTTTTACACATATTTCACTGATACTGTACAGAATTTTATTTTACACATCGCATAATTGAAATAACATATTTTGTACATTGTACGTGTGACAATAATTTAAATGTTAGTTTTATGTACTATTTGTCATTACGAGAGCTTTTAGAAGGCAAGTTTATAAGCGATCTATAAGCGATTTATTTTAAATTCTAAATGAGCGTTTAGTCAATCTTGACCGAAAAACAAGCTAAAATATCTTCTAATTGAGATTGGCTAATCATAATAATCACCACATTTCATAGAGCGATTTCCTTTAAATAGGAAAAAATATATTTCTTTTAATAAAGCCGAAACAACTTCTCTTCATTTAGCAATCTCGAATTTTTCGGGAATGACTTTTTCGACACCGTTTCTACTTCAGGTTCCAAAATCTTCGTCGCATTTTTCTTTCCTCGGTCCTGATCCGCCTCTTCTTCTTCTTCCACCTCCTTTCCGATGTACTCGTTCAAAACATAATATTTTTCCGATTCCTCGCATGGTATCGAGCTTTCCGTTTGTGTACATACGAATGTTGCCTATAAATAAATCAGAATATTGTACTGTCTTTACTTTAAACCAAACAAAAAATAAATTGTTACTATATTTGATATCAGTATGAAAATATTTCTTAATTTTTGTCTTGCTTTGAAAATATATCGAGACGTAGAATCAAACTTTGTATGTCTCGCAATAAAATGATAACCAAGCATTAATGATATTGACTTATTAAAAATGACAATTATTTTATTTCCATATGTATATACATGTCGCAAATAATTATCATCCTATTGTAATTCGATAGTTTATGAAGAGTGATAATTATTTGCGAGCACCGAGGAAGATTTTGGGTGTCTTTCAATAAGAGATACACATGAGACGATGTGACACGGTGCATCATTACATCCTTGTTGTTCGCCAATGTTAAACAAAGATGAGATGATTACTGTGTCGTACTGAGTTACTTGTTGGAAGGCACCCTTTGTAAGTCGAAACGCGACAATATTATATTAGTTTACTTGGTTGAAAACTGTCTCGGCGGGACAAATGAAGCTCCATCTAATTGATCCCCTCGTTTGCGGCATGCATACGTGAAACACTTGGCACTCGTTCTCCATGTCGGCATAATAACCGTAAATTCTGTCGTTGCACGAAAAGGTATCGACGATGTTCTCGCGAATGAGCGTTGCGTTGTCGGGAAGCAGCAAGCCACCAGTTTTAGATTGCTAAAAAATTTGATTACAAATTTAATTATCGTAAATCGTGTATGCGATAATCCGTGACGAATTTGTTGATGAAAAGGAGAGAATACAAAAATGTCGATATTTATAAAAACCTTAAATACTGGAGTAGGCCTTTTGGATTTCGGCTGTTGAGGCAAACTAACAGCTATCGCGAGAAGACCGAGAAGCAACACGGTGAAGAGCTTTTCCCGTATCATTATTTCAATGAGATGATTTTATTATCGCGGAATACGCGTGTTTTCTTGTGTTATCTCTTCGAGCGCTGGTGGTCCCTTGTTACTACGATTGGTTCTTCGACAAATACGATGTTTTATTGTAGTTCTGTGTTCGGGAATCTTGAGAAGACTGATGATGTGATTCGCAGAAGGGTGTTATATAGTGAACTGTGTGTAAAGATCTTGAATATTGTATGAATGGTCGATTCTTGGTACATTGAAATCAGTATATCCATCACGTTTGGTCTGCCAATGACCATCGTCAGACGTTCACATCATCTTCGAAGGTCCGATGCAAATGCCGCTGCTTTCGGCTTGATAATGTGCTCATTTGGCAATTTTTATTTATATTACTGTTAACAGCGTAAAGAAGTATTTTGTTACATTGTCAACGATTTTTTTGCGTAGAAAATCACGTACATAATATTTGAAAGAATATTTTTTTTAAATTTATTTCACTCATTTTTATTGGTTTTCTTCAATCTGCTGTTAACTTAACTATGTACTACAATATTAAATTTTCGGATATGATTTACCAATGCAGTGATTACAAATAATTTCGTGTAATTATTTTTGAAATTTTTTTAAACAATTATATATTAAGTATATTAAAAATTAATTATGTTTAATTATGAAACACGATGATGTTTGCAAAACATTAACAACGACAATTGATAGTTTATCAAGACATTAGCAGTCAGAGAGGTCCTTCTATCGAGAAAGGATTATTTTTAAAAGAGTCTTCAAGTACGTTGAATTGTCTATGAGGATCCTAAAGAGACAGACGGCACTTCGAAGGACGGATATAAATTACATGTCATGCGAACAAACGTGCCGAAATTCTTATGTGGCGATTCAAATTTCTGGCTTCAATCAAACTCTTCGACCTCACGGATTTATTTTCTATACCGTAGTCACCTATTTTACCCCCAAACGTGACACATTAGTCCCATTCCGCGATTGGCTGCGTTCCAATTGAATACGGGATGTCTTTCTCACGAATTTGGCCGTCGAAATTCGAGGTCAGTCCCAGCCGGGCCTTATCTTCGTTAAGGCCGCATCGCGAACGGCGTTTCTTCGGGATATGAATACTTAATAGTATCAATGAGAAAATGTATCCGATTATGAAATTACTGCTTTGATTATCGATAATGTGCATGAAAAGATACTCTTGCGTGAACGGAAAGAAAGATTTTGCTGAAGTATCTAAAAATATAGATCTTATTAGAAAATAATTTTGTTTGGACTATTAAAATAATTATGTAGGAAATTCAAGCATATGACAAGTAATACTGCAAAAAGTATTGGCATTCTATAGCAACCAGTTCGAGTGTCCTATATAATTATTTTGGTAGTCAAAAATTATTTTTAAATTTATATCTAGCTAAATTAGATGCTTCAGCAAAACTTTTTTCATGTAATAATCTTTTCTAAAGAAAACGTAGTAGTTCCTCGGCAACAATAATTTCTACATGGAAAATATGTGATTTTATATTTGTAGATATTATATAGTCTATCAAAAATAAAAGCAAGTCATATAAAGAAAATATGTAATATATTTTGTTGTTAAATATAGATATTTATCATACATACATATCTATAATTTCTGCTTCCTTCATCTTTTTTTTAATTAAATAAACGGACATTTTTATTTCTGCAAATTTATATAAGTTACAGAAAGAACGTTTCTTTATTTTTTATTTTAAGGTTTCTAAAAAAAAAAAAACTGTCAGACACACGTTTCTTTCGTAAGAAACTTCTTCCTGCGGTTCATGGAGCATCGATGAGCCGCAATCGTTGCACAAATCTCGTGCGTTTATCATTGAAATGATCAGTAGCAAGGTGAACACCCTGAAAGTATCGCTGCTCCTTAAAGATTCCAGTCGCATTATCCATCGTGCTATGACGAGGAATACAAAGATTTCAGGATGGTCCACCGGTGCGGCTGAAGAAGGTCGTGCGATTCGTGTATCAGAATCGCCCAAGTTTCTCTCTGCATCAACGTGATGATTTTTCGTTTTCCTTTGTCGATAAATGTAACATCTGCAATCATGTCTCAAAAGAAGACACGCGAGAGAAATCGTATACTCGTACAGTTTATTATGTAAATTTTTTAATACGTACATGTTTCTGTAAAATTGCCATTATAAATTATTATTGTCTTTTACAAAGAACTTTTTTTTCTAGAATATATATAATTTTTCTACTATTATTACATATGTATATTTATATTATGAGATAAACATTCAGAGAAAGGCGTTAAACTTTAAGATTTGTTGAGTCACGATACGAGTGATAGTATGTTCTTTTAATTAAAATAGTTGATCCTAAGAAAATACCTTTGTGGCGAGATAGAACAGGTACTCGTAAGTAACTTTGGTATGACTTAAGGCGATTAAAGAGTACTATTTTTATATATGATAATTAGAGGTCAGAGAAATCTTAAATCATCCATCATTAATTAAAGTGAAATTCAAGATGATCGTAACATATGCCGACGTAGCATGCAATAAATTAAATAAATAAATACTATACAATGTATAAATATCGACGTCATGTCGCAGATATTTCCTGACTTTCGGACTAAAGAGTAACTATAAAATAAATAAAGAACGATGTGAAACGGTAATCATTTTGCGACGAAATTTGTGTCATCGTTCGGTTCTTCTTTGATCTTTCTCGCGCAAAACGATCGTCCCCTCGGTTAAATTTATGCAATTTTGATATCAGTCCGTGGGTGCGTAAGAGCGGTACGCGAGTTCATGAGGCGTCTCATTCGACGATCTTCCCCAGTAACCGTGATCGTCGTGATCGTAGTGATGCTGATGCTGTGCATGCTCGTAGTAAATAACTTTGGAAGGCTTCTTGATCTCTATCCAGAATCTGGCAGCGTTCAGTATCAACGAGATGACGGCGATGATGAAGAACTTGAACTGGAAGTGAGTGCTTATCAGCTGCAGCAACAGGCTGAGTTTCGCTTTCAGCAGCATCACTAATCCTAGAATTTTCTGTAGATGTTTCTTCTTGAACTTCTTCTTGCGCGCCTCTTCTAAAAAAATTGTACATATTCTGTTACATCGTACAATTTTCTACGACGCTAATCTATGCGCAAAAAGGAATTTTAGAACGCGAAAACGCAGTAGATAATTGCAAGTGAAAGCGAATATCAGAAATAATGCTTTTATGAAAATTCGCGGTATGGATCGATCTTAATTAAAGCACGCAATCTGGCAAACGTACTACGAAGATCTCCACGCAGGTTGACCTACAAACCTTCACCTGGAGTATATTTTGTCTGGTTTATGCGCCACGTAATCGTCCGCAACCGGTACAACTTTCTTTTAAAAAGAGTCTCGCGGATCGCTTTCGCGGCCGAATTTTTTCCCAACATGAAAATAATGTGTCTTTCGCGTTCTAATGTCAAGCTATCCGAGTGGATCCTATAGCGAATCGCAAAATTTAATTGATATCTAGTTCCACTTTTCCTCATCGGCAGAATGTTAAATCGATATGAATCGTAGCGAATTAGCGTAATGCTTGTCGAATTATTCAATTTGTCGTTGGCAATTTACGTTGGAAGTACCGTACAGTTTTTTGTACGCTCCAAAAGATAACAAAGATAATATTCCTGGTACCGTTATTGTTCATTAATATAAAGTCTAGTTTTTTTCTCTTTTTTGATAGGTTCGACGATTAATATCTCGTTAGAGCAATTCTAAAACGCGACGTTCCGTTTGTTCTGCGAATTAAAAATTTTATATTTGACGACCAATACTTATTTCTTCCGCCCTCGTATGATTCGCGTTTGTTGATTTTTGCTGGAAAAAATAGCCAAGAAAATGGCGAGTGATGCAATCGGTACCGTTATCGTCGATTTGCCTAAGTCGTGGCATTAAATTAGAATAAACTGCTTTACAACGTCGGCGACACGCGTACACGAGCACAATTGCGTGCAAAACATTTAAACAGCTAGCTAGTGACCCAGACGGGAACTCCGATAGCGTGTTAACTTGCGGTTCGCCTTGCGCGTTAACTACAATGTTTACGCTTGTATTGACACTCGGTCGATGTTTAAACGTTATGCAAACAACGGCGGTAAGTCCATTCACTTTATGACCGCGATGTACGTTTCCCGAATCCGCGAAACTTCCTCGCCTTGTCAATGTGATTTACTTTCCCGCATCGATCTAAGATATACACAGTTGAACGTTGTTCATTCATAGACTTCATTCATGTCAATACTACTTCCTTTCTTGTCGGCTCCGTTTCTGAGTATTGAGCGGTACTTTTGTTTAAGTTGTCAGTTGTCTTATAATTACGATATTTAATTAATAGTTAAAGGAAACAATTATTTATAATATATTATTTATATAACATTGAGTTATATGACAATATTGTGATATAAATGTTGATCATAAATGAAAACCACACGTATCAAAAATTAATTATCATAGATAAGTTGAATCTAAAAAAAATCTTTAAAAAATATATGCCAAGTGCATAAAAAAGGTATGGAATATTACATTCTTTCCTAATAAAAAACGGATATGAAATAAATGCAATTAGTCAAGTACTTTATTACTAATAGATTTATACCGAAATTATTTCTTATGTTTCTTATTTTACTTAAGTACTGATTACAATGACATGGTTTCGGAAAAACTAGAAAAATAATATATGTAATAGAGAAGAAAATCGGCACAGTAATTTTCAGTGCACTCTAGATGAACTGACTTCCCGTTGTTACATCTCCAATAAAGAAGGCAGTTACGAGTTCGGAAAAAGTTAACCGACTTTGTCCAACGGTGCCTCTCGGGAAGTGCGAAGAAGATACGACGTGCATGGACGACCTTACAAGAGTTCCACGTGCCGTCTCATCGCGATTAGAAATCTGAATTGCGAAATCGTCGATCTCGATCTATGACAGCTTAATTATGCTGACACACAATTCAGTGGTGCCTTGTTTGTACGAAAGTTAGCAAGGGTTTATATTATCTTAGAAGAATTATATACGTTATCAAACATTATAATATAATTTCGGACAGTACCCTATTAAAAAAACTAAGAAAATTTGAAATAATTAATAGAATGATAAGGAAATGATAATTAAGAAATTAA